CCATGGGACCCCAACGAGTTGGACACGACTGAGTGACTAACACATGTGCCATGTCAAACATGTGGGTACCATGGTTGTTTGACGAAGCAAGATGTCTGGTGAGATAACTAATAAAACAGATATTGGAAGACTGTTTTTAGACTCAAGGTATTAGGTAAATGTCAAATAACTTCATGGTGGAAAACAGACTACGAAAGGATTCCTTTGTTGGACCCAGGACAGGTGGCCATGCTCCCCTCTCTCTGGGTTGCTGGGAGGCATTGTGAAATTTCTATAAATTCTTTACCACTAATTTGGATATTATATGCATAAAATAAGCGTGCGTGAGTGCTAAGCTGCTTCAGTCATGTCCAACTTTTTGCAACCCTATGAACTGTAACCCACCAAGCTCCTCTGTCTATGGGATTCTCCAAACAAGAACACTGAAGTGGGGAGCCATTCCCTTCTCCAGGGGATCTTCGTGACCCAGCCTCCTGAGGCTCCTGTATTGCAGGCAGATTCTTAACTGCATCCACTCCCTATTTGTGACTCATGGAAGAATAATTAATGTTCATAAAGGAACATCTTCTGTGGCTCTGCTGAACAAAAGGTACAAGGATGTTATTTTCATGAGACCCTGGCAACTCTAAAAGGTCTTCACTCAAAATCTATGCAAACTGTAAAAAAGGTTTACGGGCCTGAAGAGAGAGGCATTATTATTCCATTGTGGAGCTGGTAAGCATGAATAATTTAAGGGTCATATCTGTAAAGGAACAAATGTCAAAAACAAATTGACAACTATTTTTCAGGCAGTCTGGTTCATTTTCAAAAGGTCAGTTTGGTAGTTTTCTTGAGTAAGTTCTGAAATCTTAACTTCCCATTTTTAACATTTTCCACGGTCTCCAGGAAAACACATTTTTAGGAAGTGTTAAGGGCACCCGTGCCCATGGTGATTGATATTCGGCAAGTGTGTTGTGGCCCAAGAGGAACGGCTGACAGCTGCCTGCTTCTCCATCCAGTTGAAAGGCATGGAGCTCAGTGTTATTCCTGCCGGCTGGTTGCTCTGCTGGGAGGTGGGCTGTTCACTTCACGGCAGAATTCACACACTGGAGACATTCTGGCCAAACAGAAACTGTGGAATTTGTACTGAATAAAGAAGGGGCTCCGGGGCCTGTATAATGCATGTGTTTACTTCTGTATGGCCTGGAGCAAGTCGTCCAGAGTTACGTGTTGGTCAGGCCATCTTCCCATTATGCCACTAGCTGCACAGGTACATCTCAGCCTCTCAATCTCTGATGGACGTGCTGGTTCATCACATCACTCTCCTGCTCTAAGTCCTAGGGTCCGTGTGTAAAAGGGGGTAACAATAGTACCTACATATCTGTAGGCTAATTCTGAGAATTAAAGTGTACATGGAGGCCTGGGTCAAGGAAGGTGAAATAAATGTTTTTGTTATTTTCATCCGAGAAGTGTGAAGATGGAAGAGACTCCATCTTCCTTGTGAATCCGTCTTCAAAATTACCTTCACATCCCAGTGTGATGGTTCTGCAGAAAGGCACTGCTGTGGAAGAAACCTGGATCCAAATTCTAACTCTGACTGAGCATTTGACCTTGGGCAAGGTCACAATGAGGGTGATGGATTACATCAGTGTTTTTAACTGTTTTTAGGGCCCCATGGCAGGGTTCTGAGACCCTAACTCACACTCACTCAGAGAGGTTCTACTTGTAACTACTTTGAATATTGGGATTTCATATCAGATTTCATTTGACAGAAAAGTCTCTTCATTGCTTAAACATAAAGAGCCACTGCATACAGTGACTTACAACTGTTTTAACTGCTACAGTGTATGGGTCTAAGTTCAACACTCTCATTGTTCAATTTTACGGATATACCAAAAATTGGAACTGGGGGAAATACTGAAAGTTGGATTTTCAATGAACTACCTTGATTTTCTTTCTTTAAAGGTTATTATTACAAGAAATGACCAGTTGGATGCCATTTCTCTCCCTCTTTCCCTCCCTTTTTCCTTTCCCGTGTTCTAACGAGAACCCAGAGTATCTATTATAATGTATACGAGAAATTGCACAGGTACTAGGAATCTAGGGGTGCATAAACTGACAGTCTCTGCTTTTAAAAACTCTTAGACTACCTGGGAAAAAAGACAATAAACAAGTAAATGAATCATGAGTTACAAACTGTGAAAAGGCTGTGATGAAAAGGCACAGGGTAAAGTGAGAAACTGACTGACTCATAAGATTGTCTAGAGAGGTCTTTGAGAAGGTGGGCCCAGCAACCACCCAGGTCCGTCAGTCCTGCACCCCAGTCATTCTCTCTTCATTTGGCCCCTCACTCCGTTGGCCTTGCCTACATCTGGTCAACACGGTATGTGCACCCCTCGGCAACTCACCCTGCTGGAGGGAGTGTGGCCACCGGTCATTTGCGACAAGACTGCATGGGAAGGGGAGGCAGGGCTGCAACAGGTGACCAGAGATCTGCCTTTTTTTTTTCTTTCCCCTGAAAGAACTTAGCTACTCAGCCCTTGAGATATTTTCATTTGTTTTCTTGTCGATTAGGAACTCTCAACAGAAAAGAATTCTGGGTTTTATATACAGTATTTTTTGATTAGGTAATTTATTTACTTGGTTCTAAACCAAAAAAAATTAAAAAGTGAAAACAGTGGTTGGGCTCTGGGGCCAGGCTGCTTGAATTTCAATCCCAGTTCTGCCAATGACTAACCTTGGGCAAATTATTCAAGGGCTCCAAGTCTCAGTTTCTCCAGCTCTAAGAACTACAATTACATATACAAAAATAGTATCTTCCTCATTTTGCTGCTGAGGACTAATTTTTTTTTTACATGTTTTTACAATTGAAGTATAGTGGTTTACAATGCTGTGTTGGTTTCTGGTATACAGTGATTCAGACATATATATGTATATAAACATATATATATATATTCATTTTCAAATTCCTTTCTATCATAGTTTATTACAAGACAATGAATATAATTCCCTGTGCTATACAGTAGGACCTTGTTGTTAATCTATTTTATATACAGTTTTTATATGTTAATCCAAAACTCCTAATTTATCCCCTACCCCACCTTCCCCTTTGGTTAACCATAAGTTTGTTATCTATGTCTGTGAGACTGTTTCTGTTTTGTAAATAGTTCATTTGTATCAAATTTTAGATTCTCTATATAGTGACATCATACAATACTTGTCTTTCTCTGTGTGACTTACTTTTGAGGACTAAATCAACCACTGAGCAGTGTCTGGCATATATTAAATGCTGAGTTAATGGTATAGAGCTACAGGAACCCAGGAAGATTCCCAGACTGCCACACCTGTGTGGCCCCCTCCTTCTGATGATATATACCCGAGGCTTGAGCCTAGTATTTTGCTTTGACAAACATTTTATAAGAACAGACAGAAACAAGCTCAGTGTATGCTGTGTTGTTTAAAATGAAGTAGATGACATGTAAAGATTAAGCAAATAAGAAATATTACTTTTTGATGGTCTTAATTAGCTACAAATTATCTAATCCTATCAGAAAAGGGAAAGGCTCAGAAATGGAAATCTAGGGTGACAGGGAGAAGGGGTGCCAGATTGGGTGAACATTGGTCAGAACGTTTCTACAGTCCTCTGAATTTAATGTGTTACTTTGTCTTCGATGCAAGTTCTATTTACCTTCAACATAATTAGAGCCCCTGCTGTCAGAACATCACTTTGCAAAGGCGACTTTAAGACAGCCTCCCTGCCGCTTGTCACCACCATAGACCTTCGGTGCCTCTGCCGAAGGACCACGTTCTCAGTTCCTGTGGCTTATTCAGGACACTTAACGTAACATGTTATTTGTTCCCTCACAGCAAGGTCTCCTCCTGACAGCCAAGATTCTGTTTTTCTGTCATAAGTAATTATAAATGTGCACCTCTAAAAAGAGTCTCAATTTGAGGGGCATCGTCTATTTCAGACAGTAAATCACAGTGACACTGCCATCCCCTGGGCAGCCAAAATGCACAACTCAGATTATGAGCTCTCACTCTGGATTCTCCGTACCTGAAGAAAAATGGGATGCTCCACTTTTTCCCTGGGGCAGTTAGGGAAAAAAATAAAACTGGCAACTTTGTTAGGGTAATTTATCCTGGTTTCAATTTCCTTTTCTTTTTTTAAGAGACTATAGACAGAGCGTGCCCATCTTTACAATCCAACTTGGAAAACGATCTCAGGGAGTCCCACTCTGAAGTTGTCTGTTACTCCGATTATGCATTTTAGATCTCTCCCCACCCCTCCCATCTCAAGCCCTCTGATTCCGCTAAAGATTCTTTTCTGTTCCTCCTCTACAGCACTCCTGACAGTCACGTTCCCTGCTCACAGCCAGAATTTAAATGGTTCATCTTAGAGGCTCTCATCAACGAAGAGAACCCCAGGCAAATTTTCATTCCTGCTTCCTTTGAATTTTTCCATCACTAATACAACCCGCTATAGCTCCATGTCAGCCTCTGCTTTAATGAAAAGGCTGTATCTCTGTATTAACAAACACATGGAATATTTGGTCTGCCCTGCAACAGTACTAACAGTTGGCATTTGCAGGCGCTATTCCAAACACTGCATGCACAGTACACCTCACTGAATCGTCACGAAAAGCGTGCAGGTGGGCACCACCTATTACTAGTTTTATTTTATACAACTGAAACTCATAAAAGTCACACAGCAGGATTTGCTAGAGCTGGAATTCAGATGAAGGTCAATTTGACACCAAAGCCATGCTCTTATGCTTTAAATTATATTTTGCCCAGGGATTAACCTTCAGGAGAACAAGAACAATTTCTCTTTTAAATTCCTTTTAGTTGCAAAGAACCTATCACCCTATAAAATGAGGCACAGATTACCTCATTTTCAATGTGTGAGTCTAAGTGATTATCATTTAATAAAAATAGTGAAATCTCAAAGTGATTGATTTTCTCTATTTATAGTTAATTATTTTTATTTTTTTTATGCTTGGCATTTTTCATATTCCCACCTTGAACACTCAAGCTTCCTGAAGAATCCTGATGCCTCTCTGCAGACTGTTGACTGGGAGGAACAATTGGTGGGCTCAGCATATTTAACCAGTCCCTAAAAAGAAAAGAACAAAAAAATGAACCACATGTTTGTAATTCCATATATATAGATTTTTACCTTTTCCCTGGATTTTTAAGTCCCTGGGGCTTCCACAAAGAAACATTTTTCCTCATTCATATTTCAGAAAATAAGATGTCCAGAAATTAATACTCAGTTTTATAAATCTGTAAATACAAAGTCAGTTACTTCACTAACTAGTTGTTCAATAAACCATCTTAATGATGATCCACTATTCCTCTGAAAAACACAGTAATGATCTTCAACTATAGCACAGCTGCTCTCACCTGAGAAACTTATTTCAAAGAGTCAGAAGAAATACAGAGATAAAGCTCCTTAGGACCTTTGCATAAGAAAGCCTGACAAAGCCACCAGTCACGTCATGAATGACAAGAATCCACTCAGTGATTCAAAAGAGAAGTTAGCCTTGGAGCTGTCTGGACCAGCCATGATGGTGGGAGCTGGTATGCATTTACTCTGGGCTTTGGGGCAGGGGAGGGCAAAAGAGGGGAGAGAGAGGGCTGCTGGGCCCTTGAGTGGCTCATCACTTCTGTTCTCCCAGTATGAATGGGGGCAAAACCACTCCATAAAGCACCTCCTACATTCCCCGTTCCTCTCCCTACAACTTCCAACCTTATTGCCCAGTCTCTTTACTTTTCTTCTTTCCATTCTTCTGTCTCCCTGTTCCTCTAGCAGATACGTGGGTGGGTGTGACACAAGTCAGCGGCATTTGGAAGGTATGAGTTCTAATTGAAGCCTTTCTCATCTCTAAACTTGCTACTCAGCTTCCTCATGGGAACAGTGCATGAAAGGGAATGTGAAGGATTTTCCAAAGTTAATTCTGTTTCTCACATTGATGTTAGCACTCTGTATCACTGATCTTGTTCTTCTCAAAGGGAACATGTCCTCATGACCCAACATTTTCTTTCTAAATTTCTGCATTTCCTGCTGTCTTTATCTACAATGGGAGAGAGTCTCAACAGGAAACTAAGAGGACTGGCTCCCCAGGCCAATCCTGGCACCATGTTTTCTAAATGTAAGAACTTCGCCAAGTCACTTATAACATCACTAGGCCTTATCTATAAAAAAAGAGATAATTGTTACTCAAGTTTGTTTTTTTTTTAGTTAAGATTAAATGAAAAAAAAAAAAAGGATGAAAAACATTTGGTGTGGATCTGGGTACAGAGCAGCACTCAAAAAATTTCAGCTATGACTAATACCATCTTCATTATCAATGGAGATCAAAGAATGGCTTTACCTACAATAATAAACCAAGGTAGGACTGAATTCTGTTGGAATTAAACCAGCAAAGAACTATAGAATGATTTCAAGCCTGTACAATAGAGGTTTTCTTTGCAAGTCGTTTACACTTCTTGTATAAAAAGTATCTTAATGTAAACATTATCCAGTTCATATTTGTATTATCTTAAGATACTTTTGCTCACTGTTCACCTTGGCTATCACTAGATTATGGCTAGTGAAATAAGCAAAGTTTGCTGTGAAACTGAATTTCAAAATCATACATTAAGGACACCAGAAAGGATTTATCATAGATTTCCAAGCTAATGGGGCATTTTCTGATAAGCACCTTTTATTTAGTCCATTTAATTATAGCAGACCAAAAAATTCATACACTGTAGAAAATTACAAGGTCACATACAAATTACCAGCCCAGCGACCTCATTACTCGTTAAGAGAGATGGAGAGCAAGGATGAACAGGAGAAAAATAACACCCTAAGCGACAAATTACAAACTTGACACAATGGCCGTAGTAGCTTCTAGCCATGGTCCATGGACATCCAGGAAAAAGCAGATGCTTTGAAAGGTAAGACATTACTTCTTAGGCCAATGATGTGGTTAATGTAGCTTTTTTTTTTTTTTTTGTCAGCAGTAGCTATAAAAAGTACTTGCTTTTTTTTTTTTTTGCTTGTTTTAAAGTAATTTCAGGGACTTCCCTGCAGTCCAGTAGTTAAGCCTTTGTGTTGCAATACAGGGGGTGCAGGTTTAATTTCTGTTTGGGGTGCTGAGATTGCCCAAGTGCCTTGTGGCCAAAAAATAAAAACGTAGAAGCGATATTGTAACAAATTCAATAAAGACTTTAAAAATGGTCACATCAAAAAAAAATCTCATCATGCTGAGGTTTGGCAGAAAACAACAAAATTTTGTAAAGCAATTATCTTTCAATAAAAAAAATACCTTAAAGTAATTTCAGATTTATAGAAAAGGTTCAATAACACTATAGAGAGCTGTATCATCCTTCAACAGACTCTCCACTTTAAACATTTGGTCACATTTGCTATCTATCTATCATCATCTCTCTATCAAGGGTTGGTAAAGTATGCCCATGGGCCACATCTGGCCCAATGCCTGCTTTTATAAGACTTGTAAACCAAAAATAGTTGTAATATATTTTAATGGTTGAAAACATCAAAACAGTAATGTTTTGTGATACATGGAATTTATATAAAATTCACATTTCAGTGTCCATAAATAAAGTTTCATTGGAATACAGCCATGTTCATCAGTTTATGTACCACCTATGACAGCTTTTGTGCTATGATTCAGAGTTTAAATATTTGTTATCTGGCCTTTTACAGAAAATGTTTGATGGCCCCTGATCTATAACCATGAGCTCATATTGATTTCTCTAATATTAATATAATACCACAGAGTCATTTTCATCTTTCCCTTTTCTGTATTTGTAACTCCCTTCTGACACTTAGGAAACTGCCTTCCATTCAGTTCAGTTCAGTCGCTCAGTTGTGTCTGACTCTTTGCGACCCCATAAATCACAGCACGCCAGGCCTCCCTGTCCATCACCAACTCCCAGAGTTTACTCAAACTCATGCCCATCGAGTCGGTGATGCCATCCAGCCATCTCATCCTCTGTCGTCCCCTTCTCCTCCTGTCCCCAATCCCTCCCGGCATCAGGGTCTTTTCCAATCAGTCAACTCTTTGCATGAGGTAGCCAAAGTATTGGAGTTTCAGTTTCAGCATCAGTCCTTCCAATGAACACCCAGGACCGATCTCCTTTAGGATAGACTGGTTGGATCTCCTTGCAGTCCAAGGGACTCTCAAGAGTCTTCTCCAACACCACAGTTCAAAAGCATCAATTGTTTGGCGCTCAGCTTTCTTCACAGTCCAACTCTCACATCCATACATGACCACTGGAAAAACCACATCCTCGACCAGATGGACCTTTGTTGGCAAAGTAATGTCTCTGCTTTTTAATATGCTATCTAGGTTGGTCATAACTTTCCTTCCAAGGAGTAAGCGTCTTTTAATTTCATGGCTGCAGTCACCATCTGCAGTGATTTTGGAGCCCAGAAAAATAAAGTCGGACTCTGTTTCCACTGTTTCCCCATCTACTTCCCATGAGGTGATGGGACCAGATGCCATTATATTAGTTTTCTGAATGTTAAGCTTTAAGCCAACTTTTTTACTCTCCTCTTTCACTTTCATCAAGAGGCTCTTTAGTTCCTCTTTACTTTCTGCCATATGAGAGTGGTGTCATCTGCATATCTGAGGTTATTGATATTTCTCCCAGCAATCTTGATTCCAGCTTGTGCTTCCTCCAGTCCAGCATTTCTCATGATGTACTCTGCATATAAGTTAAATAAGCAGGGTGACAATATACAGCCTTGACGTACTTCTTTTCCTATTTGGAACCAGTCTGTTGTTCCATGTATATTTACTTATTTTCTGGAGTACAGAATACACCAAAAGTAGTTTCAGAATTGTTAAGCAAACAAAACAGCCAATAAACTCACCAAACCTATTCTCTAGGATTCAGTTTATGGTTCTTTTTATCTTTAGTCAAAATACTACATTCAAAATTTACTTAGGCTAGTTCTTTTTTTTTTAACTACTATTATTTTTATTAGTAGTATGTTAAACATTTCTAATATGAGTAGTAGTATTAGACCATTATTACCATATTATTAATATTATTTTAATTAACTTATTTTAATTGGAGAATAATGACTTTACAGTATTGTGATGATTTTTTGCCACGCATCAACATGAATCTGCCACATGTATACATGTGTCCCCCCAACCTACCACTTCAGTGTGGCTATATTATTCATTTGAAATACAGCTAGTGTCATTTGCTTCTGTTTATATTATATTTTAGGTCTTTCCCCTTGATTTCTATTAGTTTTGCTGCGAGTATGTATTAAAACATTAATAGTTCAAAAGTCAAACATTCACAGACATAGTTTAGTTAACAGATTTCTCTCATCCCTTCCAGTTTGTTTCTATCCCCTCATCACCATCCCCACCCACTCCTCCAGAGGTAATCAATTTCATTAGTTTTGGTATCTCTACCTTTCTTTTTGCAAAATTCAGCTGATACACATCTATTTTTCCATTCCTCTTCCTTCTAATGCAAAAGGTACAATACTATAATCACTCTTCTGCACTTGCATTTTTTTCCAACTTAAAATATATCTGGGAAATTATTCATACCAATTCATAGAGAAAGTCCTCATTCTTTTTTTTAACAGCTGCACAGTACTCGCACTTGTGTGTGTGTGTGTTCAGTCATGTTTGAGTCTTTGCGACCCTATGGATTATAGCCCACTACCACTATGTTCCTCTGTCCCTGGATGGCAAGAATACTGGAGTGGGTTGCCATTTCCTCCTCCAGGGGATCTTCCCAACCCAGAGATCGAACCTGTGTCTCCTGGGTCTCCTCCATTGGCGGGCAGATTCTTTACCATTGAGCCACCTGGGAAACCCACTCCATGATGTGGCATACATTTATTTCACCACTCTCCTTTCTTTGGGCAAATTTTAAATATTTTGTGATTATTGTGATTAATGCTATAATGAATAACTTTGGGCATTTCTATTTTTGTATACTTGAAGATACATCTCCAAGGTAAATTGCTCGAAGTGGGATTCCTGAAACAAAAGGTAAATGCATACTCGGGCTTTGTTAGATACTGACAAATTTTCTTCACAAGGATTGTACCCTTCAGCATTCCCACCA